CCAAGAGAGGGATACGAAAGAGCTGCCAAGTTTGAAAAAACTGCTTGATAAATAACTTCATATCAACTGTACAACAACCTATACTGTATGGTCTGAGGATGAAAAATCATGTTCCATTTTGGCTTGTACAATACTTTGTGGCTAACTTTAAAAATTACAGATCGGTTAAGTCTGTGCATTGATATATGCGGTGTAACCTAATTTTTAAGCATTAAAATGTCACAGATATCTGTGGGTGATGGGGAGAAGTATATGCAGCTATGTATAGAATATTGTAAACCCTAATAGAAAGATCAGTTTTCTTTTCTTGCCATTGGTCAAATTTGACTTCATCTGTTTTTATCACTAGGTGTTTCTGATATCCCACAACCAGTTTCTCCTATCCTTTTATGTATTTTTTGATCCTGCCCCTTTCTCTTTTTCATTTTCCCTGCTCTCCGTCCTTTCTCTTCCTTCTGCCCCCTGGCTATGTGGTCTACTGGCTGGATTGCAGTAGCTGGATTGCAGCTGATTAGATGACCCTGCTGGTTTTTGAGGATGAAGAGTACAGGACAAAGGAGGGAAAGTTTTAAATGTTTACATTGTAGGAGAATAGTCATGTAAAGATCATTGTGCTTTCAAGCTGCAGTTTTTGCTTTTTAAGTTAAGAGATAAGAATTCTTTACAGTATTATAGTTTAAAACGTTGGCTCTGATTATAGTTGACTGAGTTTAAATCCTGGCTTTACAGTTGACTTGCACTTTGACCTTCAGGCAAATTTTTCATCCAAAAGAAGTGGAAATTAATATAGCACCTATTATGTGTCCAATATAAAGGACTTAAACTGTGCCTGGTAGACAGTAAATGGCCAATACATATTAGCTGTTATCTTTTATTTTACATTCATTAGACACAGTTTTCTTTTTGTCACTGTTATGTTTTCTTTAAAGTACAGATGTCAGGAAAGTAGCAATCAGAGTTTCCTTGTTTGTTGAGGGTTTTTTCTTTTCTTTTTTTTTTTTTTTTTTTTTTTGACAGAGTCTTGCTCTATTATTGCCCAGGCTGGAGTGTGATCTTGGCTCACGGCAACTGCTGCCTTCTGGGTTCAAGCGATTCTAATAAGCGATTCTTATGCCTCAGCCTCCCAAGTAGCTGAGATTACAGGCATGTGCCACCACATCTTGCTGGTTTTCATATTTTTAGTAGAGATGGGGTTTCACCATATTGGCTAGGCTGGTCTCTAACTCCTGACCTCAAGTGATCTACCCACCTCAGCCTTACAAAGTACTAGGATTACAGGTGTGAGCCACTGTGCCAGGCCTGTTGAGGTATTTGGATCAGGATGGTCAACAGAAGATTTGCTGCCAGAGTTAATGGTGACCAGTCTTTACAGAGAATATAGAGACTATGAGATAACTACTGTGGAATCCGTTAGTTATAAGGAACCAGAGGGGCAGAGCTTGAGATAATTGGGAAGTTTAACATATTATTAAACCCAAAATTGTCAGCAAGACTGATAGCTGCTTCTCAGTTATCTGAGGTATTCCTTTTTTTGCAAAAATACTTTTTTAGCCAGCATGACTTATCTCTTAGATGAGAGAAAAGAGTAAAAAAGACAAAGTGTATAGCTGCTCTTAAAAATAGAGTTGGAAGTGTAGTTTTGGAAGAAGGTGTCTCACATGAGCAAATTTTCTAGACAAGTGAAGTTTGACTCTTTAAGTTTCAAAACTTGCTTTTATAATTTCTTGAGTTTTTTATAAAATTGAACAATGCATTTATGTCATGTTTATTGAGTACATCCCATGTGCCAGAAACTCTATCGGGTACTTTACATTATCTTGATTTTTATATGTAAAATGCATTGTGTTCTGGCTTTTAAACAGGATACAATGATTCTAATTTAATCTTTTCTTGGAAGACTAATTGTTAAGCCCTTAAGCAACTCTGTGCTTGGATTTTGTGACTTTTACATTTTGATCATATTATTCTCTAGAAGTTCTTGACTTTTTCCGTGTAGTTGAGGAAAGGGAAACTGATTGTTAATTGATTACTTATTACATGTTCTAGGTACTTTCACATACACTTCATTTCAATCTAACAGAAACATGTAAAATAATTATTATTATACCCATTTTATAGATGAAACAACTGAACTACAGAGAGGTTGAGTGTATTACAATGGATTCACACTGCTGAGTCAGGAGAGGAACTGAGACTGGAGTATGAACCCCTCTTGACTCTAGGTCCAGTGTTCTTTCTGTGCTGACATCACTGAAGAAATAGACATAGTTAAAAGTAGGTTCATAGATCATGACCCTTATACTCTCTCCTAATTCTTTCCCATTACTCTAAAAGCAGGGTTTTCGTCTCTAATTAATTTAACTATTCTTCACCTGTGCTAGATGCAGTCAGAGAGACTAGAAGTTAGAAAAAGGATGGAGCTTCCAAACCTGTTGGGTGAGAAGCTGGCCCATGAAATGACCCAGAATTTTCCCAAAGTAAATGGAAACTCTTTAACTTTGTTAGAGTTAATTTATAGTCACAAGTAATTTTGTATGCCTAATACCAGCTATAGACTAAGGAATTTATCAGAAGTATTAAAGTAAATGAGCTCTTTTTTTCATAGCAAGTCTTCAAAGTTCAGTGAGGGTAAATCCACCCTCCCATAAAAGCAGTGAAAACGCTGGCAAAGATAGCAAAAATCAACTTTTTCAGAACCCCTTAAATTAGCCAAAGGCTTCCAACAGTGTAAGAAGTGTTTATTCAAGAAAATCTGCTGAATCTTATTAGGAACAGCAGGGTTTGTGGGATTGTAACTTGAACTACTCCCATTTCCTCTCCTCAACTCTGCAGTAGCCTTGAAAACCAGCGGTCTTACAAACACGGTACTTGTAAAAACCAACAGCCTTTACCACTGGATAGGATAGGCCTGGATGGAAGATCCTTAAGAAGTCCCATTCCCAGAGCATTGTCCCTATTTGACTTTTCTCACAGCTCCTTGTAAAAGTCTCATTTGCCAGGCATGGTTGTTATTTGACCTACCTTGGTGCTTAGAGCTTGCTCTGTGGGAACAGCCCTATCTTCAGGGTACTTGTCAAATACAGTCAGTGACAATCATTTAACATTGCAGCTTCTGAGGGGTCAATACCAGTTGTGCAGATAAAAACCTGGCTAAAAATTTAAGGATAAGATATGAGGAACAAGATGTTCATAAGAGACTTTAAAAAACTCTAATATATTCCTAGGGGATTAAAAGGCTGTACACATATGCAGGGCTATATGCATGCTCAGAAGGACCTGAGAGGGCCTCAATGTCTTGCCTCTGACTGACCATGAGGTCCTGAGAAAGCAAGAAATACAAGCTAAGGCAGAAGGTTAAAGTGCCCACGTGTTGAAGGCATGCCTCAGCATACATACAAAGCACCCTCAGCAAAGACTGGATCGCTTACTGGTTCACAGCATCATCTGGCTAGCTGAACAGAGACATCAGTGGCTGTACACTTGAAGAAATGCAGACTTTACAGAATTAGTCCAGAAAAGTCACTGAACAAACAAACAGCAACAACAGCAGTGACTACAAAATACAGCAACAACAAATCCTGGGGAGTTGGGAGAGGAGAGTCTGATTTCCAGAATTGCCACATTTATTATTATCTGAAGTGCTCAGTTTTTTTAAGAAAAAGTATGAGACATACTAACACAAACAAGAAAGTATGACCCATACACAAAAGGGAAAGTAGTCAGTGTCTCTGAGGGGCTGAAATGTTGGATTTATTCTACAAAGATTTTATTCAGCTACTATCAACATAGTCAAAGAACTAAAGAAAACCATGTCTAAAGAAAGAAAGTATGACAATGAAGTTTCACCAAATAGAGAATATCAATAGAGAAATTGTAAAAGAATCTAAATTCTGGATTTGAAGAGTGCGATAACAAATGAAAACTTTACTAGTTAGTTCAGTAGCCGATTTGAGCTGGCAGAGGAAAGAATTAGAAAACTTGAAGTTAGGCCAATTGAGATTATCCAGGGTGAGGAACAGAATGAAAAAGAATAAAGAAAACTGAACCTGAACATAGTCTCAGAGACCTGTAGGACACCATCAAGCCTACTATTATATGCATTATGGGAATCCCAGATGAGGAGAGAAGGGTAGGAGAGGAATAGTTGAAGAAATAATAGCCAAATACTTCCTAAATTTGTTTTAAAAAGTATTTGTCTGGACAACTAATGAATGTAGCAAACTCTAAGCAGGATAAACTCAAGGAGACCCATACCTACATGTGTTATAGTCGAACTGTGAAAAGACAAAGAGAATCTTTGAAGCAGTAAGAGAAAAATGACTTATCAAATAAAAGTAACAGCTCAATAAAATTAACAGCTGACTTCCCATTAGAAGCCATGGTGGCTGGAAGTGAGTGGGATGACATATTTAAAGTACTGAAATAAAGAGATTCTCAACAAAGAATTATCTGTCAAAATTATCTTTCAAAAATTGAGGAAGAAACCAAGACATTCTCAGATAAAGGAAAACAGAATGTGTCACTAGCAGACCTGTGCCGCAAAAATTATGAAGGGAGTCCTTCAGATTAAAAGGAAAAGATACTAGATGATAACTTGAATCTATATGAAGAATAAAGAACACTAGTAAAGATAAATACAGAAATAGATATAAAAGCACAAATATATTTTTGTAACTCTTCTGTCTAATAGATAACTACATAAAGCAATCATGATAACTGTGTTAATGGGTTTATAATGTATAAAGATGTAATTTGTATGACAGTAGCATAAAGGAGAGAAGAAGAAAAGGAATATGTGCAGAAAACTTCCTAAATACTCTCGAAACTAAGCTAATATTAATCTGAACTACATTGTGAGTTAAGATACTAATTGTAATTCCCAGAATAACCACTAAGAAAATAACTCCTTTAAATAAAAGAAACAAGGTATCAAAAATGGTACCCTAGAAAATGTCTATTTAACTCAAATTAAGACAGTAATATTCACTGTTTATTTTTAGAATATTTAAAAGATGCTTCAAAGAAGATGAAAAATGGGCTTATGTTTGTAAAACTGGTTAACCCGTGTTCAGGTAGGTTCTCGTCTCATAACTTGAATGTTCTTAAATGTTGTGACTAATAAGTGTGTAGACTTATATGTCGTTGTATCATTGCTCTTTCTGAATAGCCTATAAAGATAAGCTAAGCTCTGTGAGGAGAAGAAAGCAAGCTGATGACATTGCTAGTCTTTCCAGATAATTCATTTGACCTAAACATTAAAAAAAATTTATTCTTATAATTTTAATTCACGGAACTGTTCAGCCATCAGAAATACTGGCAAAATTCAAAAGTAGCATGTTTGAATTCTCCCTAAAAACAGATGAATTTTCTTTGGCTTTTTTAAGCCAACTTTTTTAGTGTAGTTATTCAACATTAGCCTCCATTTATATTCATTTTATCTTATACAGTAAAATAAACAGAAAAAAAAGCAAAAACAGAAGGCTTTCAGTTGACATGCCAAGATTTTGATTAGTTTCAGTTTTAGCTATACTTTCCTTTTTTGTTCTGACCAAAATAGTACATTTTTTTTTCTGTCAGGGGATTTTTTTTTCTTAATGATAAGCACTGTATATTGAAGAGATTCATATTTTATTGAAAAACAATTTTATTTTAACTTAATATTCAGTGCATTTTCATTTTTCTCTTCATATTTTTTAGGCAAAAATATTAAAATACATTCTAAATATGGAGTGATACGGTTGATAGTGTTTATCTCTGTGTGTAACTGTTTTTCCATTAACTTACAAGGTTTTGCATAGATACTTGATACTTGGCATATTAGAGCTTTCTCCTGGTGACAGTAATACTTAATAGTAAAAGTAAGGGAGGATCAGTGGAGAATGCCTTGTTATGGAGACATGTAAATAAAATCAACAAGAGAAGAAACAAATTCCTGACTTGAGCAGTGTTCTTTTCTTCAAAATGAAATTGACTGTAATGATCAGCTATGTTTAGAATTCTGTTATATGTCAGACTAAGTTGAGGTGAGAAATATTTCTTCAAGAGAAGTTTTAGGTAGCAGTAAAGGTTCTAAAGTATTTAACAAAAGTACAGGTACAGAAGAAAGCCAGCCCTCTTCTAAAATTTGTGTTTTATCTAAATGCTCATAGACAACAGAAGAACAAATGTTTTTATTTGCTTCATTGGCAGTAGAAAAGTAAAAGCTAACATTTGCTGAGTTCTTACCATGTGCCAAGTTTTGGTTTAGGAAATTTTACATGTGTTCTTTTTGTAATCCTTAAGAAAACTCTATGAGGAGGTTCAGTATTGTCCCCATTTTACAGATGTGGAAACAGAGGCACAGGAAGGTTTATGAACTTCCTCAGGGACACATGCCCAGCATACGGTAGAGATAGAGTTAACTCAGCATCCTTCTCTCCAGAGATTCTGCTATGGTTAGAAAAAAAAAAGTTTCATTAGTTGAAGGGATAAAACATGCAGATGTGCACAGGCTTAACTCCCTTCTGCCTCCTTTTTTTTTTAGGGGGAGGGGGTTAAGAAAGAAAAGGAAAAATTCATCCAGTTGAGTGAAGCTTTATTTACTCCCTATGGCTTCAAGCTTGTCTGTCTTTCTCACTTAGGGTTGACCTGTGGGTCCGTGGGTTTGGTTCCTGCTTTAAACCCTGTGTGGGGAGAGCCACATGCTGCCCACAGGCAGGGACCCATGTGGCAGCTCATGTCATGTGGCTGAACCATTGTGTTTTGATAGTTTGAAAATGGGTTTTCCCTCTTGATCTGATGGAGGATTTAAGGACAGGCTTTGTAGCAGTTAAGATAAATGACTTGCACTTTCTAATTTTTTGGTTTAAGTTCAGTAAGGATTACGGAACTGGAAAATTACCATCTATGTATAATAGCTAAAGCTTTCCTTGGAATCAGTTTGTGTAGTATAGACCTGTGTGTGTTTATGTTCATATTATGAACATTTCTCAGAACTATTGGATAGTCTTTTGGGGGTGTATGTGTGTGTGTTTGTAAACTTACAAATAAAAGACAGATTTGCCTTAACAGGAGAAGGAGCCATTTACTTGTTCAATATGTGTCTACAGCAGCTGTTTGAAGTAAAACTTTTCAAGGAAAAACACCATTCTTGGTTTATAAATCAATCAGTTCAATCAGGTATGTGACTGCTGCAAACATTTCCAATAACTAAATACATACTCCAGCTTTTCCATTCTTCACACGTAGGGTTGTGGATCTGTCAGGGATTTGGAGTCTAGCCACTGGGTTAGCCTTCCTTGACATAGAGCAGGTTTAATCAAGGAGAACAGAAAGATCATTTGAGCACTGAGGTTAGGTCACCTGTGTGTCTTAGACAGTAGGAAATTTTAAACTAGCAACTCTGCTTTGTCTCCTAAAACAACAACACATCCTAAGTTAGAAGTTAGGTTTGTACATGGGGTGCATATTGTGTTGATTGGAAACTCTTTTGAGGATCTTTGTGTTTTTAACATGTTATTTCCTTGAAACTGGATACTGATATAGCTTCTAACATAGGCTAGAACATTACAAAGTTTCTTTAAAGTTCCACCAAAGTTTCTTGTGGTGTTCCCTTAATTTGGAGACAGTGCTGACTAGGGGGAGAGTAGGCCAACAGAACTGTTCTGCCTCATGTTCTGGGGATTGCTGGGGTTGGGGGCAGTCAGTGGGTATTCAAAGCATCCTATATCCCCCTGCCCACAGACCACAGAAAGGACTGTGTATGGAGAGAATGGCACTGCTTTCCCATGGCTTTGTCCTCAAAAGCACAGGAAAATATGTTTTACTGCAACTTTATAGATAGACTGACGGGTTTTCTAACATTGCCATGTTCTCATTCTGTCTGTGCTTCCTCCTGACCCCTCTTTTTTTAGGGGGTTGGAAGGCTGTGTTAAAAGTGATTTCTAGAGAAGAAATGGAAAGTTAAAGATCGATTTCAGGGTCTTGGCTCTCCTCTCCACACAGGGATTTGAAGCTTTTTGGAGTAAAATCTCATAGAGCACATTCTGCCTTTGGAGAGAATCACACAGACTCTCTGGCCTGTATAAAAAGAGATTTGAATTTGGAATTTCACATGTATTTTGCAACACATGCTTTTCACTTTGAGATGAAGGTGAAATAACCACGTTGTGTTTCCAAGATGTTTAATTCCCTTCGTCCTTTTCGTAATCTGCAGGAGGTCTTCTCCACTTTGCCACACCCATGGACCCTCTATTTCTGCTTCTCCACTACCTCATAAAGGCTGATAAGGAGGTGAGTTTACAGTTTTGGGCATCCACACTGAGGAAACAGAATCAACTGTTTTTGCTTGATCTCCTCTCTCTTCCTTTAATGATCCAAAGGTGGATCCTACCTTCAGATCTAATGCTGTGACTGCAGAAAACCTGAGTCATGTGGGCGGGCCAGTGCAGGACAGAGCCCTGCTGTGCAGGCCAGAGAAGCAGCGCCTTACCCTTGATCCAGTCTGACCCTGGCTTGCTTGTGACCTCTGTCTTGCCTGACTCACTGTGCTGTGCAGCTTACTGCTCGACAAAGCCTAACAACTAACACTCCTTTCTCATTAAGTATTCCTTATGCTTGAAATACAAAACAGGTGTTTAAACATTGATTATATGTCTTAGGAGAGGAAAAATTTATCTGTTTTAGTGAGAGACTGTGGAGTAGGTAAACTGAGGCAGGTCCAGTAGAAGCTCATTAATGGGATGTGCTAGTTGAGACTTAAGAAATCCCAGATGGATAAAATTTACCTTTGGAATAGAAATAAAGACAGAGCTCACCAATAGTGATCATTTTAACCAGAAGTTCTGTAATATTTTGGTCTCAGGATACATTTACACTTAAAATTATTAAGAGTTCCAGAGAGCTTATGTTTCTGTGGGTTCTAGCAATACTCACTGTTAGAAATTAAAACTGAGAAAGTTAAAAATAATAAGTCTACTACATGTTAACATAAATAGCACATATTTATTGAAACAACCAAATTTAATGAGGCATGTGGCATTGTTTTACATTTTTTGCAAATTTCTTTAGTGTTTGGCTTAACTAGAAGACAACTGGATTCTTATATCTGATATCTTATATCTGAGTCTGTTTCCATATGTTATTTTGGTGGGATTATATGAAGAATATGTGGCCTCATACATATTTGTAGTTAGGAACAAATAACGTTATAGCCTTTTTAGATTATTGTGGATATTCTTTAATACTACCTAAAATATCAGTAAGTGGTATTTTTTTAAAGTTTAGTTGCGATGGTGGAATCTGAAACTTTGTCAATTAACTTTCTGTGTTCTGTTACATTAAAATCCATTGGTCTGTCTTGCACTTAAAATGGATCCTCTTACTTACGTATGATTTTGTAACATTATGCTTTGGTCATTTGGAAAATATTGGTTTGCTGAGTTATGCATATCTTCCAAATGTTGACACATCTCATTTTACACACACACACACACACACACACACACACACACATCCTTTTGTTGATATTACCACTGATCTCATCAGAAAGCTCTTTAGGTATTGAGAAGCTGTCATAGTCACAGATATTTTCTACAATTCTAATTTTTGCTTGAAAACTCAAATTTTATTATTGGCTGCAAGTACTGTCAGTCTTTCCTTTGAAATGACAGGCTCGCATCATTCGCATTCTGACTAATACTGGGGTCTGAATCACCACAATTCAGAGTGGATTTTTCAAATAAAAATGCTATCCATGAAAAAGCTGCTGGTTCTGCTTGCAACTCAGGCAGCCCCAGGACAACACGCTCTTCTTTCTGGTAATCAGCTTACCTTTGGTTAAGCAGCCAAAGGCCTCTAGCCATGCCTCACTTTCATCACAGAGAATTTACAAGACTTGTGTTCAAGGGTCAAGATGTAAGTAAAATTAATTACTTTTACTATTTGCTTAAGGATATTCTTAAGTGAAACTGGCATTTTTTTAACTGCATATAAATGGCGATAAGGATCCAAGTGATGACTAGGACAGTCTGGTGACACCACCAGACTCATGCTAAGGAGCCAGCAGTTTTCCCCACCATTGCATTTGAATCATCGGTGCAGATATCCACACAGTGAAAATGCAGATAAAATTTTAGCAGTATTAGGAAAATAGCTTTGAGCTTGAGTACTTCATGACCCAGGGATCCATCAACCATAGTTGGAAAATCTTTTAATTCACAACTTACAGTAATAAGTGTTACTCAAACTGCTTAGAAGAATCTGGTTTTTTTGGACTCTGAAGTTTGGATAAAATTTGAACACTTAAATATTTCTCGTACTTAACCCTTAGACTAAATTCCTGAAACTTCCATTTGGTAGGGAAGTTAAGTTGCAAAATAAATGCTGAAAGTCATAAAGCATCAATGCATGCTTTCTCTTGATGCAGCTTAGCCTCTTTTAGTCTCCTCCTTCCCTGCCCTCTGCCTTTCACTGTGGATTAATGAAGTTTTATCTCTTTGTTTAATCATGTGTACCTTATCTGGAAGTTATTGTGATGGCCAGTATAACAAGAGCACACAAGCTGTGAGGCTGGTAAGCCACGTGTCTTTAAAGAACAGAAATGGTCCTGTTCTCCAGGAGAAAGGCCCTGGGGAATATTCAGGGAGGAATTCGAAAACCTGTTGGCTCACCTATGTGATGTTTTCTAGGATAAATTAATGAGGAGAAGGATACCAGCCATCCTCAGCACACGCATTGATGTGAATTTAAGACTCCCCCTCCTCTTTTTGATAGCATTTTTTCCACCTCCCATTAAGACCATGACTCCGGGGCATTAACCCTATCCTGGCCCTCTGGGTGCCTCCAGGGTGCTATGGCGAGCTCACGTTGACAGGCGCAGAATGAAGCAGAAATGCTGTTCAGGGTGGCTGTTGGCTTTCATTTTAAACCATCATGCTTCCCAAGCACATCTTCCCATGTGCCAAAAATGCCCTTCAAAGTAACACTTGAGATGTTTAGCTATTTCCTTCTCTACATTTTAGACATGATCATTTCCTATTTAGTTAAAAATTATTGGCAAACACTTTTGATATGTGACCTGTTCTTTTAAAATGTATTTTAACATCAGTAAAAATAACTGTTTTTTTTTTCTAGATATTCCACTGCTGCTAGCTTTATAGTAAAGGCAGGTTGCTTATTACATTTCCTGCTATATATGTATAGTAAATAAAAATAAGAATGAAACACTAATTATGAAATTATTTTATATCATGACTGTGTGGTAGTTCCTTACATATAAATATTGTTTTAAAGTAGTCAAATATTTAACATATTGATTGATCATGGAAGAGTATAGATTTAAGGTAGGAAATCTAAAGACAATAAGACTTGGGAAAAATCTGGGCATTATTCTTACTATTTGAAGGAATAAGAACATTTAAATTGAGACATTTCATGGCACTAGTTAACCTAAGAGAAAGTGTGGCAGGCTATCCACATGTGCTCCCAAATGATGGAGAAGATTTTACCCTTAAAACCCGAGAAAGCTGCATTTGCAGAAATTGATCAAATGCCATTTTTGTGTCTTCAGGAGAAGTTGTCAGTATTCGAGAGGTAGAGCGAGCTGGAAGTGGGCATGGGCAAGGCCATACATCTGGTACAGTCTGGTGTCCCCAAATCAGGGTACTAATGCCTTAATTTAGACAAACGTCACCTCTACTTGCTACTATACAGTTAAGAAAAACTAGACCTAATTCTGAAGACTGATGTTCTGAAGCCATATGGTCTGTGCTTCTGGCCCACTGGCAACCAGGCCATATGAACTTCTCTGGCTGAGCCTGATTTAGCCTGTCTGCAGCTGCCCAGGACTTCTCCCTCTGGCTGTCTTCTTTTATTCTGGTCTAAGTTTGGAAGCATAGTCAGGCAGCTCTGACAGGGATAGATTCACTTTTGATATTTTTCTCTTTGTGGTGGGTGCTTCTTTCATCAACCCTAGAGTGAGGATGGGGAGGCAGATATATAGCCGTGCCTAGTCTGGACTTGTTCCAGTGTGATAGTCAGGACTCTTGCTCTGTGACCACAGCTGGTTCTTCAAATCAAATGGGTTGGACTAGCCCCACGCAGTCTCCACCATCTTTGCAAGCTTCTGTGGCTTCCAATGCTTTTCAGATTGTTTTGTTCCCTGTTTCATATGGGGACTGTACACCTGAGGTAGATGGTGTGCTGCCTGGGACCCCTGTGCTCCCAGGAGCCTCCTAAAGGGAGCCTGGGTCCATCCTAGAGTCTGTCCCAGTGTTGGGATTCCTTAGATGGAATAGGCGGCTCTGTACTAAGTTTAAAAGCCCAGCCGTGAGGTAACGTATCTTTTTCTCTTTTTTTTTTCTGTATGTCTGTTGAATGAAATGCTTGCTTTCCAACTAACTAAAGTGTTTTTTCAGGGGAAGTTTCAGCCCCTTGATCAAGTTGTGGTAGATAATGTGTTTCCGAATTGCATCTTGTTGCTGAAACTTCCTGGACTTGAGAAGTTACTTCACCATGTGACAGAGGAAAGAGGTATGGTATAACTTAAAGGCTTATGGTTGGTAGAAAGGATAGGCCTTGCCTAAGAATGTGGCTGCTTACAGGCCCACTGAATGTAAGGCTTATTCTATGTTGGCCATAAGGAAACCTGTCATTCAGATTTGCTAACACTGCCAGCACTGTTCCTCTATTGCTTTGGAGTATTTAGTCTTTGGAACTACAACCATGGCAGTCTGTGCCTGTGTCCCACAGGACAGGAATCACAAAGTGTGGCTTCACTCTCACTTCTTTGAACTAGTTCTGTGACATCAGGGAAGTCACTCAGCTGACTTCTGCCTCAGATTTCTCATTGTAAAATTACATAGAACCTGTACCTTAATAGATGGAAGTATTTATTGAGCACCTACCAAAAACAGTATGTTGCACATTAGTGCTAAGCTCTATATACTTGTAAGTAAGACACTGTCCTTTTCTTCACTTTGTGCCCAGGCTAATGGGGGTCAGTGACAAGCTGAGCAATGACTGCACTTAATAATTTTAAGTGTAAATGTATCCTGAGACCAAAATATTACAGAACTTCTGGTTAAAATGATCACTATTGGTGAGCTCTGTCTTTATTTCTATTCCAAAGGTAAATTTTATCCATCTGGGATTTCTTAAGTCTCAACTAGCACATCCCATTAATGAGCTTCTACTGGACCTGCCTCAGTTTACCTACTCCACAGTCTCTCACTAAAACAGATAAATTTTTCCTCTCCTAAGACATATAATCAATGTTTAAACACCTGTTTTGTATTTCAAGCATAAGGAATACTTAATGAGAAAGGAGTGTTAGTTGTTAGGCTTTGTCGAGCAGTAAGCTGCACAGCACAGTGAGTCAGGCAAGACAGAGGTCACAAGCAAGCCAGAGTCAGACTGGATCAAGGGTAAGGCACTGCTTCTCTGGCCTGCACAGCAGGGCTCTGTCCTGCACTGGCCCGCCCACATGACTCAGGTTTTCTGCAGTCACAGCATTAGATCTGAAGGTAGGATCTACCTTTGGATCATTAAAAGAAGAGAGAGGATGGGTGGGGTTTTAATCTGGTGGAGTTGGGTGGGAAGTGCAGGTGGGTAGCTGTTGTGTTGCTTTCGTGGGGGAAATGACCTCTTTATAGGGTCCTGAAGGATAGTCAGAGAAGCAGTGTTACAGAGGCTCGGATATATGGAAAAGTTTGTCAGGTTCAGGAAGTTCCAAGGAGTTCAGAGTATAGGATGCTAAGGAAGGATTTAGGTTGGTAAGGAGTGAGACAGGAATGCTGGGCACGGGCCCAGGTGATAAAGGGCCCTGTGTGTGTTTGGACTTTGCTTAATGGTAGCGGAGTGTCTGTAAAGTTTTAAGCAGGGCAGTCTGCAGTGTGGAGGGTATATTGAAGAGGCCAGGTCCACCGAGGCTGCTGTAGTGATCCAGACAGGAGGTAATGGTAGCCTGATCTTAGGAGATACAAGAAGAAAGTAGCCACTTAGAGATGGTCCCAACTGCTTCTGATGGTTGGATGGCAGTCAAGGAGGTGGAGGAGACAAGAATGACTTCTGGGTTTGTGCCTGACCCAGAGGATGTGTAGTTGTGGCATCCTGGACGCAGGGAACATGGACTGTAGAAGCAGGATAGGGTAATGAAGAGATGTGTGTTCACTGTCATTCATTTGACTTTTTAGAGGGGAAAATAAGGCAGTGTGTGTGTTTTTACAGGTTAGAAATACTATACAAACTTGGCATCAGTGTCTCAAAAAAATCATCCAAGTAGTTTCAGGGTTAATGTGGAAACAAAGTGCGGGAACCAGAACATCAGGTTGATAAGTGTGGCTGTTTGGGGTCATAGATGGTTTGGCCACAATGACGGTTCTTCTGGGACCAAGAAAGTGGTGAGTCCAGGAAGTGTAAGCTTACAGTGGGAAAGAGGAGAACCTTATTGATTGCATTTTGTGTTTAAGGGGTCCAGTAAATTCACACTTGGCCACACTTGGGGTGAGCTCCAGTTTGGAACGGAGGGATGTGTGGTGCTGAGGTTTTATCAAAGCAGTTCCATTAAAGACATTCCCTGATGCCGAGTTTGGCAGGAGACAGCAATCTTTTTATAGGTGACCAGTGAAGTAGCCCATAACCATTTTTAAAAGTTAAAGTAATGAAAAATAATAAAGCCATTTTAATTTTTGTCAACTTAACACAAACTGAAAATGCAGTTATCTCATATTAGGGCTATATAAGAAAAATCATCTTAAAGCCAAACCCAGAAATTTGGATTTAGAAACAGTGTTAGTGCCTTAGCATTTGTTTCCTTATAGTCTACAGCTGAGAGCAAGAGCTTCTCTCTGTCTCATCCCTTCCCTCTTGCACACTGAACCCCTGACCATTTATTGTGTCATTATCTGTACTTGTCTTAGTCTCCTTTGCTTCTCAATATTGCCTAACTTCTGGTAATTCTGCGCTTCCATTTACAAGGTAGCTATGTTATTAGCGTTTATGTTTGCCAAATTTCTAAAACTGTAGGCCTCAATTTTTTTCTTTATTTTTAAGTGACGGGCAAAACATAAAATACTTAAGAATAAATTTCACACAGTAAAAGATGTATTCAATCTCTAGAGGTTTGGCAGTTTCTTTTTATCAAATTTTTCCCTTAATAAACTGCAGCCTGTGAATCTCAAAGTAATGGAAGATTTAAAAACAGAACCAAAAAGATTTTTATTTACTTACTTTATTTTTTTTAAGGCAAAGTCTTGCTCTGTCTCCCAGGCTAGATTGCAGTGGTGCAATCATGGCTCACTGCAGCCTTGATCTTTTGGACTTGAATAATTCTCCTACCCCAGTATCCTAAGTAGCTGAGACCACAGGTGCAAGTCACCACACCTGGCTAATTTTTTCTTTCAGAGACAACAGGGTTTCTTTATGTTACCCAGGCTGGTCTTGAACTCCTGGGCTCAAGAGATCCTTCCACCTCAGCTTCCTAAAGTGCTGAGTTTACAGATGTGAGTCACCATGGCCATTCTCTAAAAGATTTTTAAATGGGGGAAAAAATAAATAAGATTCTCAAATGCCTCATCCTCAAAAAGACCCTTTCATCAAAATATATATAAGCATTTTCACATTACTTGCTTTACCCCTTGACTCAAAACATAAATATGTGAAATATGTTTTTTTATGGAAGACCTGTGTACAGGGACAGTGTACTAAGATAAACATCTCTTTCCTTGAAGATCCACAGGGATCAGCATTTGGAAGTTTGCTACTGCCTTAGAGTCCAACAAGACAAGCTCAGTACATACACTTCTACAACGGCAGAAATTCTGTGCTTATTGGTTTACATATATTATGTAGTACTTGTAGTAATTTTCTTCCATCGTATATTAATAACCTGCATTTTCACAAATGAGGAAACTGAGGCTCAAAGAGTTTAAGTAGCTTGACGGACGCTATAGAACTTGAAGTGGTAGAATCAGGATTCGAATCCATGTCTGGCAGCAACTCTTTTCCCTTCCTTCTTATATCTGTGTATGTAACACTTCCAAATATTCTGTAAGGGTTTTGTTTTTGATTTTTTTTTTTTTGGTGAAGTTTCATGTAAAAACAAAAAGTTGATTCTTTTTTTTTTTTGAAATGGAGTATCACTCTGTTGCCCAGGCCGGAGTTCAGTGGTGCAATCTTAGCTCACTGCAACCTCTGCCTCCTGGGCTCAAGTGATCCTCCCACCTCAGCCTCTTGAGTAGCTGGGACTCCAGGTGGGTGCTACCACACCCAGCTAATTTTTGTATTTTTAATAGACACAGTGTTTCACTATGTTGGCCAGGCTGGTCTCAAATTCCTGACCTTGGCCAAAGTGCTGGTTTTACAGGCATGAGCCACTGCACCCAGCCAAAAAACTTGACTCTTTTAAAATTCATTTTTATTTTAAATTTTTTTAGAGACAGAGTCTCACTCTGTCACCCAGGCTGGAATGCAGTGGCATCATCACTGCTCATCACATCTTTGAACTCCTGGGCTCAAGTGATCCTCTCACCTCAGCCTCCAGAGTAGCTGGGACTGCAGGTGTGTGCCATGACACCCAACTAACCTTTTTATCCTTAGCAGAGATGAGGTCTTACCATGTTGCCCAGGCCAGTCTCCAGCTTCTGGGCTCAAGCAATCCTCCAACCTCAGCCTCCCGAAGTGCTTGGATTATAGGCATGAGCCACTACGCCTCATTTTGATTTTTCTTTTTTAATCTCATGTATCCCCTCTTAATAATTTCCCTTTATGTGGCAAAAAGAGACAGGGAAGGAGACAGAAAAAACTTCCTAGCTTAAGGAAATGTCTATTCTCATCCCTCCAGGGAGCTTCCTAGAACTTCTAGGCACTGTATGACCCCACAGGTCTTCTTCTAGTATTTGTGTTGGGTACTGGCTACCTATTTGAATTTGGATTATTGTCTATTTATAAATTAGTGTTTGCTTCCATTCTCTGTAATTTACTTCTAGATTTCTAAATAAGAAAGATGACTACTAAAGAGCCATCAGTTACTATCCATGATGAAGATTAAAGGTGAAGAAGAAAGCTGATGTTTTTTAACTTCCATTCTCTCCACAGGCACTTGTGCAGATAGAGTAAAGCCTGAAATACTCAAATTCCCCAGCCAGCCTTTTCATATTAAACTCCAGATGCTTCTTAAACATCTATGGCATTTAAGACCTGGTTAAGGCTGCTAGGCCTGTAAGAACCTTCCCCACTGATGAGTGAACCTAGCCATGGTTTTTTGTACCCTGAATGATGATAGCGGTGACCTTATCCCTGCCTACTTTATTAGTGAAGGAAATGATGTGTCTCTGTTTGCTAGCTGTGGGGCTCAGAGCAGGTTTCTTGCCAAAGAAGTGCACATTCAGTGGAGAGATGGCATGGGAAAGGACTAATGAAAGGTCATGAACTTTATCTTGAATGTAACACTGTTTCATATTGCCAGCCAAAGCTGCAGTGCACTGTCTGAGGTGATTAACAGGGAGAGCCAGGAAAACTTACCTGATTAAAAT